TTTGTTTTTTGCAGAACCAGGGATTGAACTCAGGCCCTTACGCTTGCCAGGGACGCGCCTATTCCACTGAGCCATCTCCTCAGCCCATCAACGCTTGTTTTTAAATATGTAATTCAGATGGGAATGTTTCAGCCTTTGACACTGTTCTTCTTGATGGGGTTATTTGTCCTTGGGTTAAAGGGCTGGAAACTGCCAAATGGGAAAATACTGATGAAGGACTACCAGGGGTGAAGCACAGGGGAGGCCTTCATGAAGGTTGCTTCAAAGGAGATAGCAGAAAAGTGCTCTGGGGAAACACAAGAATAAGGCACAGGTATTTTGAGATCTTCAGAAGTAGCAAGAGTGAAATCAAAGGATTTTATGACCCACCAAGAAGATTGTTGGGTCAACGACTGGGACCATATGATAGACCCATAGGAAGAAGAGGGGGTTATTATGGAGCTAGGCATGGAAGTTAGGAAGGTTTTGCTGACTATGGCAGCTAAAATAATGCTATGGAAATGATGGCTTTGATGACAGAATGAGAGATGGAAGAGGGATGGGAGGACATGGTTATGGTGGAGTTGGTGACGCAAGTTCAGGTTTCCATGGTGGTCATTTTGTACATAGGAGAGGGTTGCCTTTTTGAGCAACAGAAAATGACATTACTAGTTTCTTCTCACCACTTCCTCCAATAAAATTTCATACTGACATTGGAGCAGATGGAAGGGCAACAGGTGAAGTAGATGTAGAGTTTGTGACACATGAAGATGCAACAGCTGCATATCTAAAGATAAAAATAACATGCAACACTGATACGTTGAACTCTTCTTGAATCCTACTCCCACAGGGAGCTCTGGAATGGGAGGTTCTGGCATGGGAGGTTTCAGCAGAGATGAAATGGATAATCCAGGAGGATATGGATCTGTTGGAAAGAAGGAAATGGGGAACAATTACAGCGGAGGATCTGCTACTAATGATGGCTTGGGTGGCTACAGCCATGGCAGTGGATGTGGTAGTGGTTACTGTGGGCAAGGTGGTAGGAGTGGAGGCAGATGGCGTGGGATGTACTGAGTGCAGGACACCAGTACAGCAGCTCTGACAGCAGCATCTGGTCCTCTAGACTTTCTTACAGTTTGAATTTCTTTTGTATTTTAAGAACTTTACAATGACTGAAGGAATGTGTTTTCACAATAGTATCTGGTAAAACAACAGATTGTGATGAGGGGGTGTAGGTTTTATGTTACATACTTTGATATAAAAATAAATTTTGATATTCAAAACAAAAAATAAGTAAATAAATTTTTTTAAAAAGGACAAGGAAACAATTCAAGGCTTATGGAAAAAGTTAATGTTTTAATTGATCAATCTTGCATTCTTCTATCTGGTAGTCTAGCAACAAATTTGTCTAACAACAAATTTGATGACGGTATGTAATATAACAACCACTGTTAATTTCCTATTCTTGTTTTGAAATTCTGTACTATTTTTGTTGTTTTATGTTTTGTTTTTGTCTTTGTTCTTGTTATTTGGTTTTGGTTGTTTTTTCCTCTTTAAAAATAACAAAAAGAAAAAAAAAA